GCTGTGGGTCAGAAATGGAAAACAATCTAGATAATGTGTTGCAAAAGTGGAAAGAGCCATCAGCTCTATCTTGTGCCTGAGACAGCAATGAGGTGGACAGTCCAGCCCCACTAGGGGCAGGAGTTCAGACCAGGCAGCAGACACCCTACCTGGCAGCTCCTCTTTCCTGCCCAGAAAGCAGGGATGGGGTGGGGTGGAAACGAAGTGTTGGGAGCAGTGCAGGGTCCACAGGCCCCTGCTGCTCTTGCCTTCTTGGGGTCACAATGCCACCACAATAGAACCAGTCCTGCATCCAGCACCTGCAGGCCGAGCACTTGCTGTCTTGCCTGAAAAGATGCTGGGCATTGACCAGCCAATCAGTGCCTTTGCAGCTATTTTGGGGGTATAATGGAAATCACAGTGATTTTGTCAGATTTTGGCACATTTGAGACACATGTGTACACTTGTGAAGACATCACGGTCACGTTGAAGACATGTTCAGATCCAGAAAGGTTTCCCTACAGCCTTCTGCAGTTCCTGTCTCCTGGATCCCTGCCCTGCCTTGAGTCTGGGTCCCCGGGCAAAGCCATGGCCAGCTTCCTGTCACTACGGGCTATTCTGCGTTTCTTAGAGGGGCACATGAAAGGAAGCATGTGGTGTGCACGTTCCTCTATCCCCTGTCAGTACCTGTGTCTTCGGAGCTGTCTGTGCTGGTGCGTGTATCAGCAGTGATGCTCAGTTGCGTGGGTCTGACACTGTTTATCATTCACCTCTTCATGGACATTTGGCTTGTTTCTGGAGTTTTTATCATTACAAATCTGCCATGAACATTTGTGCACAAGTCATCACATGTGAATACGTTTTCTCTTCGTGAAACACCTAGGAGCAGCATTGTAGGCACTTTTAAGGAAACTCAACCCCTCCAAGGGCTCTGCCACTTCCCATCACCACAGCAGCGTGTGTGCTGCACCTGCTGCGTGTTGGCCATGGGCAGCTTCAAGGTCTGCCTTCCAGGTCTACAGGAGCACCCCTTGTTTAAACATGTACTTCCCCAGCAACTTAGGAATTGGAGCAAATTCTCATGAGCTGCTGCCATTCAAATACCTTCTCTGGTGAAGTGTCTGTTTAAGTGTTGTTTCTTCCTTTCTCTTAGCTTGGGATGATTGCTTTTCTGATTGCTGAATTTCAAGAATTCTTTGCATGTTTTCGATATAAGTCCCTTATCAGATGTGTGGTTTGCAAATATTCCCAGTCTGTGGCTGGTGTTTTCATTCTGTCAAAATTGTCTTTCAAAGAACAGAATTTTTTTAAATTAGTGCATTTTAATGATACAGAATAATGGGTTTTGTTGTGGCATACACATACATGCAAATGATGTACTGTGGCCATAGCCACCCCAGCCCCTGGTTTCCTTCCTCTCCTCTGATAGTCTCCCTGCTACTTTCCTGTCATCCCCCAGATCCCACCTGTGCAGGAAAACATGTGATACCTGTCCTTGTGTCTGGCTCATTTGGCTTTACTTGATGGTCTCTGATTCCATTCATTTCCCTGCAAACAACACAATTTCGTTCTTTCTGGTTGCATAATAGTCCACTGTGTATATACACCACATTTTCTTTATACTCACATACACCTGGGCTGATCCTGTGACTTGGCTAATGTGAGTTGTACCATGATAAACATGGGCATGCTGGTATCTCTACAGTATGGTGGCTTTAATTCCTCCGTGTGGTATAGTGGGGTCCATGGTGGCTGTCTTTCTAACTGTGTGAGGAGCCTCCCTTCTGGCTGGGTGAGATGGAGTCTCAATGTGGTTTTCATTTGATTTCCCTGATGGTGGATGATGTGGAATATCTTTTTCAAATACTTATTGGCCACTCATAGGTCTTTCGAGAAGCATCTGTTCATTCCATTTGCCTGCTGACTGGCCAGTGTTATGTTTTAGTCCTTTATCTATTCCACTCTCACCCGCTGCAGAGGACCCGCTGGCCAGCTCTCCCTCCCACTTCTCTCCACCGGTGTCCCCTTAGGTGTGCACTCACTGGTGCTCTGACCTGGGTTCTCGCTCCTGCTTCCTGGAGTCCTGGGCTGGGTTCCTGGGTCTTGAGCATTTCCCCATGTTTTCTTCCAAAGTTTTGGGTCTCGTGTGAGGTCTTTGGTCCACTCTGAGTCGGCCTGTGCAGGGTGAGAGGGTCTCATTCTTCTACAGGTAGACATCTGGTTTCCCCAGGCTCTTCTCTCCAGCCTGTGAGTGGCCCCGGTCACAGGCCAGAGTTGGGGGCCCTGTGGCTGTCTTGCGTCCCTCCTGTTCACCATGCTGCTTTGTGACCATGGTCTCCAGTACACCTGAATCAGTCTTGGGCCTCCGTGCTGCTCGGTTTGCCCACAGAGCAGAGCTCTGGACTTGGAAGCGACTTGGAATGTTTTCATTAGTGGGCTTTGCTCTTGGGGTCAGCTCTGCCGGGCCGAGTGCCACAGGATGTCTTCCAGCCGCCGTGTGGCTTCATGCTGCGCGCCTGGGAGCAGGACCCGTTTGAGTTGGTGATCCTTGCGGGCTGGGAAAGTAGCTTCTATTTCCAGTATTCCATGAGGCCTTTCTTCTTAAAATCAGGGGAGAATGCGGGGAGTTGCCAGAAGTTTCTTCTGCATCTATCGATAGGGTCTTTTCCCTTTCATCAGTACGTGCACCACCGTGATTCGCCTCCAACGTCCAGCAGGTCCTGCGTCCCTGTGACCCCACTTGGTCATGACACTCCCCCTTCAGACAGCTGCTGGTTCCCGCTTGCAAGGCCTTGTTGGGAAACTTCCCTGTCCACACGCCCGCTTCCCCGGTGGCTGCTGCTGTGTGCAGTGCGGGAGCCCTGGGCACGCTCAAGGGAGGCTGCCTCCCCGAAGGTTGTGCTGCTCCTGCCAGGCCCCAGCGTGGGTGTCGTGGTGGTTTCAATACACAGAGTGCGGTGGAGGGACCTGGTGGGGCCCTGGTCACCTCTGCGTCTGTCTGTGAGTGTGAAGTCATGGATTGCTGGGCTGTGGTGGGCACACAAAGGTCACAGCCCTTCTTGGCCAAGATGCCGGCTCGTCCCACTTCCCAGGCATTCCCAGCTCCAAAGCTCAGACTCCTGGTCCCAGGTCCATGAGGACTTCTGCCCTGCCTTGTCCCCCGGGCGAAACATTGCCGTCTGACACTTGCAGTGGGATTCTGTGCCAAACACTCACATGCAAGAGGCCCACGGAATCTGCACCAACCCTCCACAGAAATGCTGTCCGACTCCCTGGCAGGCTGCACCTCCTGTACCCAAGGCCTGAGGTTCTGTCCGGGGTCCCAGGTGGTGGAGACGCCGTGGTTTCCCTGCAGCTCAGGAGGCCTGGCATGGCGGCTGGGGTCTCTTGTTCATGTCTCTGGGGCTGGAGCTGCCTTGGAGGGGGCCTGGTACCAGGATTCAGGGTGAGGCTGTGGCTTGGGCGGTAACTGCTGCTCATCTGGAAAGCTGCCCCAACACAGGGTGGACCTGGACTGACTCCCACTGCAGGTCTGCGTCATGGATGTAAGTGACAGACTTGCAGAGGGTTCACCTTTCCCTCTGACTGGGCAGGCGAAGGCAGGCATCAGGAGAGCTCCACGCTCCTCGCTTCTGGCTGCCAGAAGGTGGACGCCGTCCTCTGCACTCAGGCCGGAGCCGTCCTGGAGAGAACACTCTGGGCTGACCTGACCCTGCCGCTGCTGGAGGGCTAGGAAGGGCTGGGGAGGTGGTCCTGGGGCCAACAGTCCCACCGGGCTGGGTGAAGAGCCCTATGACAGATGGCGCCTTAGACCACCGTGCCAGGAGCACGTGAGCACTGTTATTAGAGGCGAGGAGCAGTGGCGGGCGTCTCCCGTCAGAGGCCGTGGTTTGCTGATGCTGGTTTTCACAAACTGATGAGCTTTGCTTCAGTGAACTTGAAAGAGGAACCTGGGCCGACACAGGCTGGAAGAGCTCTATAAATATTATCCTGGAGAGTGTCCAAAGCATTTACAGCAACTGTGCCACTCTTGAGGAAGGACACAGCTGTTCTCACTAACACGGTGGTGTTGAACCTTCCAGGACAGGCAGTTGGCATAAAGCTCAAGGGCAGCTCCACTCCACCAGTCAGACTCACACCCTTGAAAGGTCAAGGGTGCTGGGCATGCAGAGTCCAGGGACAGTGGGAAAGTCACAGTCTGAGAAGCCTGAAGCCACAGACACGCATTCTCTAGCCATCCTGGAGCGAGAAGCCCAGGCATAGCGGGGCTGGACTCCCACCTAGGGCTTGGGGGGGGACCCTCCAGGGATGGCGGGGCTGGACTCCCACCTAGGGCTTGGGGCGGGGGGACCCTCCAGGGATGGCAGGCTGGACTCCCACCCAGGGCTCCTGGGAGTCCTCCAGGGATGGCGGGGCTGGACTCCCACCCAGGGCTCCTGGGAGTCCTCCAGGGCGGGGCTGGACTCCCACCCAGGGCTCCGGGAGTCCTCCAGGGATGGCAGGGCTGGACTCCCACCCAGGGCTCCGGGGAGTCCTCCAGGGATGGCGGGGCTGGACTCCCACCCAGGGTCCTGGACTCCAGGGTCGGGAGTCCTCCAGGGATGGCAGGGCTGGACTCCCACCCAGGGCTCCTGGGAGTCCTCCAGGGATGGCAGGGCTGGACTCCCACCCAGGGCTCCTGGGAGTCCTCCAGGGATGGCAGGCTGGACTCCCACCCAGGGCTCCGGGGAGTCCTCCAGGGATGGCGGGGCTGGACTCCCTCCCAGGGGAGTCCTCCAGGGATGGCGGGGCTGGACTCCCTCCCAGGGGAGTCCTCCAGGGATGGCGGGCTGGACTCCCTCCCAGGGCTTGGAGGGGGACCCTCCAGGGATGGCAGGCTGGATTCCACCCTGGGCTCCAGGGTTTCCGCCCTGCCAGCCCTGGGCTCCAGGTGTCTTGACTGCTGTTTACTTATCTCCGTGTCTGCAATCTTCACATGTCTCTTGTATGTGTGTGCCTCAGTGTCCCTCTCCTCTTTGTACAGGACGCAGTGCTGCTGGATGGGGGTCCACCCTCCTTGCCTCAACTGGCTGTGTCTGCATCGATCCCATCTCCAGGTGAGACTGTGCTCAGAGGCTGGGGTTAGGCGCTGGTGTGTACCTAGTGGAGCTCGAAGACACTCCTGGAATCCGCCTTCCCCCTGCTCATCTCAAAGGTGCACTCCGCCTCTGCCTTTCCAGCATGCTTGGGACGCTCCTGCCCTGGAGCAGCCTGTTCCTGGCTCTGTGCTCCTGTCTCAGGGGTAGGACAGAGGGCAGCTTTGTGCTGCTGGGCTGGCTCCCAGGCAGACAGAGGACCAACCGTGTCAAGGTCTTTGGTTGACTGAGCAGAGGAGGTGGGAGCAGGCAGAGCCGGTTCCTGGAGTTCTCCTGTTGAAGCAGGAATGTGAGAGCTGATTTCTGGGGGATCTGCTTAGTGGACCCATAAGCTTCACCAACAGTAAGTGTCGGGACGGAGGTTTAGAGACCATCTTTTCCTTGAGCAAAAATTGCCTCTTTACTGAAAAAGATCTGTGGGTCCATGTGACTTCAGAGTTGGGTTGCAGTTCCTGTAAGTAGCAAGGTGGACGTGGCACTTGCCTGACTCTCAATGTCCTGGGTGGCTGGGGAGGGGACTCCCATTGCTCTGTCAGTGAGCATTGCCCCTAATGCACTCCCAGGGCATGTTCTAAGACTGCAGGCGGGATTGACTTCGGCTGATCCGTGTCCTGTCCTGTCCTGTCCTGTCTGGTGGCAGAGTTGGTGGCTCTAAGCACAGGAAGAATTATTTGCACAACAAACCCCTTTATGATGGAGTGGCAGTTCCAGGTTATGAATTTCAAAACTTGCTTGTCAGGCAGGGTGCATGTGGAGCCGCCCCTCAGGCTGCTGCAGAATGACTTTGTGTCCGATGCTTGGGAGGTCAGTGTGGTCAGGCCCCCATGAAGAGCTGGCCGCCTGCCCCTCGTTCTCACGCCCATTGACTCTAGCTCGGGTCGGCCTGGCCTGCTCCTTCCCCTGTGTGCTTGTGGCCCCAGGTGACTGTTGTGGCTCCTGATCCCTCGGGGTCTAGTGCCTACTTGAAATCTGGGGACTAGATTTCTCAGTCTCTCTGCTAAGATGGCTCGACCCTGAAGCCCAGGCGGAGCCCCGTGGAGGGCAGAGCACTGGAGGGAGGGGGCCGCTTTCTGTCCCCAGTGTCTTTCATCCCAGGATCCCCCGTGGCCCCCACCCTAACCCTGGGGTGCAGTGCCGCCTGTTTGTAGGTGCAAACCTGGCCCCGAGGTTGACTTTGCTTCCTTCAGGGCTGGCTGCTCGTCCCTCAGCAACTGGCTTCAGGTGACCAGTGAGGAGAAGTGGCCAAGGATGCGTGGGGACTTGTGTGTGGTGGCCATAGCAGGGAGAGCCTTCCCTAGCCAAGGCCCAGCCACAGCCAAAGGTCTCCTGGGTGGAGGTGGCTGGAGTGGAACCCCCCCGGGGCATCCCACCTCCAGGCAGCACAGCCTCCCTGAGCCCTGGGTGCGCTGTGGGAGACGCAGGAAAAGGAGACTGAGGCTGAGCCAGGACATGGGCTTTTACTCTGAGAACCAGGTCTACACCAAGCAGGAGGAATGCAGTGCCCATGCTCAGAAGCCGTGGTGTGCATGGGGCCCCTCTGTCACCACCCTGCAGACCTGCCTGGGAACAGGGTGCCAGGCTCCCCTGAGGCTGGGCAAGTGGCCCCGAGAGACTGCGAGGCTGGCAGCAGGACCCAAGGTTTCCAGCCCCCCTGCCAACGCTGGCTCACCCTGCACACTTGGGCCCCCACCCCGAGCCACCTGAACCCCAGGCCAATGTCCCGACGGGGAAGGCTAGCTTTGGAAGCCATGGCCAGAGTTACATAAGGTCACCTCCACCCACCAGGGCTGTGAAAATTGGGTCTCGCCCATTACACAGTCTGTGTCTGAGGCTGAGTCTGCCCTGAGGTCTGATGCACTAATGTGAGCCACTGTGAGCTGAAGGACGTCCCACAGATGTGACATTTGGGGACACAGTAGAGGAGGGCAGCAGTGGCTTTATACACCCCAGGCCAAGGTGGTCAAGACTACACAGCTGGGCCCCCTGGGCTTGGTCCCCAAACTCGAGAGAAACCTGGTCCCTGGCCCAGCTGTGCTGGTGTTGGGGCTGCGGCCACTGGACACACCGATCTATCCGAAAGCTGGCCCTCGGGCAGGCAGCACGTGCAGTGCCACAGGAACGCCCTCCGCTGCCCGCCCACACGCCCTGTGACACCCCAGCAAGGCCTTCCCATGGGCAGGGCTGCTGGCGGGCAACCATGTGCCCAGGCCTGAAGCACCCAGCTCCAGGAGACTCCTGACCTTCCTGAGGGGACAGGCCCCTGGTCCAGGCCCAGAGGGAGGACACAGCAATGCTGCAGGCTTCCCTGAGGCCACAGACAGGTGGCCCCTCCCTCACACCAACCTCCCTAAAACCCGGGAGGCAGAGAGCATCAACAGTCCCCACTCCACAGAAGAGGAAAACGGGGAGACCCTTAAAACCACCATTCGGGGGGCTCGGCCAGCAGAGATCATGCAGGCAAACCTGGGGGGCTGCCGTGTCCTCCCCAGGTTGCTCATGCTCCGGAGCAGGGCCAGAGAGGTCCAGCCTCAGGCCCTGGGATGCACAGAATCTGCTCTTGCAGGACGTTAGTCCACCACAGAGTTTTCAGACAAGCACCTGACCTACCCTGCGGCAAGCCACAGCCCTGGGGGCCACCCGCTGCCTCAGGGATACTTTGAATTCATCCCAGACGACATGTTATTGTGTCCATGAGTATTTCAGAGTGTATTTCAAAGACCAGAACTGAAACCCACACAATCTCAGTTCTATATGTCACCTGGAAAACAGCACTCAGGACCCCCGACTCCCTGGCTGGCAGCCAGCTCCTGCTGTCCCAGGGCCTCCTCCTGCCCACAGCCCACCTCCTCACTGTCCCAGGGCCTCCTCGTGCCCACAGCCCACCTCCTCACTGTCCCAGGGCCTCCTCCTGCCCACAGCCCACCTCCTCACTGTCCCAGGGCATCCTCCTGCCCACAGCCCAGCTCCTCACTGTCCCAGGGCCTCCTCCTGCCCACAGCCCACCTCCTCACTGTCCCAAGGCCTCCTCCTGCCCACAGCCCACCTCCTGCTGTCCCAGGGCCTCCTCCTGCTCACAGCCCACCTCCTCACTGTCCCAGGGCCTCCTCCTGCCCACAGCCCACCTCCTGCTGTCCCAGGGCCTCCTCCTGCCCACAGCCCACCTCCTGCTGTCCCAGGGCCTCCTCCTGCCCACAGCCCACCTCCTCACTGTCCCAGGGCCTCCTCCTGCTCACAGCCCACCTCCTGCTGTCCCAGGGCCTCCTCCTGCCCACAGCCCACCTCCTGCTGTCCCAGGGCCTCCTCCTGCCCACAGCCCACCTCCTCACTGTCCCAGGGCCTCCTCCTGCTCACAGCCCACCTCCTGCTGTCCCAGGGCCTCCTCCTGCCCACAGCCCACCTCCTCACTGTCCCAGGGCCTCCTCGTGCCCACAGCCCACCTCCTCACTGTCCCAGGGCCTCCTCCTGCCCACAGCCCACCTCCTCACTGTCCCAGGGCATCCTCCTGCCCACAGCCCAGCTCCTCACTGTCCCAGGGCCTCCTCCTGCCCACAGCCCACCTCCTCACTGTCCCAAGGCCTCCTCCTGCCCACAGCCCACCTCCTGCTGTCCCAGGGCCTCCTCCTGCTCACAGCCCACCTCCTCACTGTCCCAGGGCCTCCTCCTGCCCACAGCCCACCTCCTGCTGTCCCAGGGCCTCCTCCTGCCCACAGCCCACCTCCTGCTGTCCCAGGGCCTCCTCCTGCCCACAGCCCAGCTCCTCACTGTCCGAGGGCCTCCTCCTGCTCACAGCCCACCTCCTCACTGTCCCAGGGCCTCCTCCTGCCCACAGCCCACCTCCTCACTGTCCCAGTGCCTCCTCCTGCCCACAGCCCACCTCCTGCTGTCCCAGGGCCTCCTCCTGCCCACAGCCCACCTCCTCACTGTCCCAGGGCCTCCTCCTGCTCACAGCCCACCTCCTCACTGTCCCAGGGCCTCCTCCTGCCCACAGCCCACCTCCTCACTGTCCCAGGGCCTCCTCCTGCCCACAGCCCACCTCCTCACTGTCCCAGGGCCTCCTCCTGCCACAGCCCACCTCCTCACTGTCCCAGTGCCTCCTCCTGCCCACAGCCCACCTCCTGCTGTCCCAGGGCCTCCTCCTGCCCACAGCCCACCTCCTCACTGTCCCAGGGCCTCCTCCTGCTCACAGCCCACCTCCTGCTGTCCCAGGCCTCCTCCTGTCCACAGCCCACCTCCTCACTGTCCCAGGGCCTCCTCGGGCTCACAGCCCTCCTCCTCACTGTCCCAGGGCCTCCTCCTGCCCACAGCCCAGCTCCTCACTGTCCCCATGGCATCCTTCTCTGCAGGGCCTCTGGTCTCTGCCTCAGTCCTATTTTTCTTCGCCTTTGGCTTCTGCCCCCGCTTTGCTGGGTTCTGGGGTTGCCCACTGGGCCAGTCCCAACCTCACCTGTGTGATGATGGCATGGCTCAGGGCTGGCGGCTGTGGCTGCCTCGTGCAGGCCCTGCTGCGTGGCACAGCCTGTCCTGAGCACCGGTTTTCTGGGGCTTGGCCTCCCCCTCCACTGCTCACCCTGATGCCGTCTGGGAAAGAAGCTGTTTCTCCTTCATTTGCTGGTTTTCAGGAGAGTGAGGAGGCTCTCATGTCTCCGTGGTACCTCGTATTATCCCCTCCTGTAGGATGTTGGGAAGAGCCGGGCTTAGCTCTGCTGGATGTTTCGCCCACTGTGTGTCTCTCTGTCCCCAGCGTCCCCACGTCCTTCAGCCTGTGTGCCTGATTGGAAGGTCAAAATGGTTAGTGATGTTTCCTGGACGGGGAATTTAGGATGGAAGCTGCACTCGGGGGTGACCAGGAAGAACAGCTTCCCTCTGCTGCCTCAGTAACATTTCCCCAAAGCTGCCCCGGAGCAGAGCCTCACCAGGAGCAGGTCTCCGTCCTCCTCAGGGTCCCGTCCCACGCAGAAGCA